CTGGATCCCGGTCCGCCGGACCCGGGTGAGAATGGCCGGTCCCGGCCGTGGGGCAGGAGGCGCTCACCCCTGGCCTATGACCCCAGCTTCCCCCCCTCCCCTCCACACCCTACCGGTCATTCCTACCGACTTTCTGCGCCCTTCCCCCTCCTCCCACCCCCACCCTTAGTGCTCGGGCCTGGCCGGGTGGGGGTTCCCCTGACGCCTCCTCCGGCCCTTCCCCTCGCACACCCCCTTCCCGTCATCCCCTCGGTCCTCCTCTCCAGTCCCTGGCCAACGCCAGGTACGCAGCCGGCTCCTGCCCTCGTCCCACACACCTTCTCGGCCTCGCTTCATCCCATTCGTCTGCCCTCACTCTCTTGCCACATGATGCACCCCAGCACTCCCCACACTTGTCACCATCCCTCTTCCCGCCTGCTGAGCCCCATTTTTTGACCCTCTGACCAATGCAGATGATCTAGCCCAGGAGATGGAAGATGTGGACTTTGAGGAAGAGGAGGAAGAGGAAGAGGGCAACGAGGAGGGCTGGGTTCTGGAACCCCAGGAAGGGGTGGTGGGCAGCATGGAGGGCCCAGACGACAGCGAGGTCACCTTTGCACTGCACTCAGGTAGGTCTCTGCGGAGATCCGTCCTACACTCAGGCCGGGCGGGCATCTGAGCATCGCATCCTGAGGGAACCGCTGGCCCCGGTCTGGAGGAACTCGCGGGCAGGGGGCAGTGTGGTGGCATGGCGGGGAGCCTGGCCCCTGGAGTCAGCCGAGAAACCTGTGTTCAAATCTTACCTCTGCTCCTTACCAATTTACCATCTGTATTAAGCTCCCTGGGTCTTAGTTTTCTTTTAAAACGTTACTTTGGTGTCAGTTACACTGAGCATATTTTATGTAACCCTCCAATGTGAGCTCTTAATGAGGAGCCAGTAGCATGATGTTCTCCTCCCTCTGTTTGTACCCAGCCTGGTGGCATCCCATGCGGAGAGCTGTAAGCCCTGCACGTACACTTTCCTGTTGTCCATGGCATCCGTGTGGGTGGTGAAGGGTGCAGCATCCTAAGGGGGCATCTGCTCTGGAGAAGGATTTGGAGCGTGGCGAGCTCGGGGAGGGGTTTCTCCAACCATCTGATGCTTGAAACTTAGAAGGAACTTGGATGCATCCTTCTTTTCCAGGAGGAAAGACGTGCTTCTTTGGGTGGGAGGGGGTGGGCTTCCTGCCGGTCCCGAAGGACAGAACCCTAGGTGGGAGCCCCCTCCCCTTACTTGTGAAATATCTCTTGGGACAGCATCTGTGTTTTGTGTGAGCCTGGACCCCAAGACCAACACATTGGCGGTGACGGGGGGTGAAGATGACAAAGCCTTCGTGTGGAGGCTCAGCGATGGGGAGCTGCTCTTTGAGTGTGCAGGTGAGGGGGCCCCGCTGAGGTCGTGTCCCTTTGGAAGTCCTCCGGGACTAGCCTGCAGAAGTTGTGCATCTCACAGCCATTTATTGACTCTGAAGAGGAATAGCATAGTCTGCTGTGGATATAGGGGAGGGAGGCACTAATTGGGCAAGGGAGTCTGGGAAAGGCTTGAGAGGAGGAGACACAGGCTGACGTAGGGGTATTTGGGAAGAGGGAAGGATGTGGGTATTCTAGGCAGAGGTGCAGAATGGACAAAAGGGTAAGACGTAGGCCTAGGCTACATGTGGTTGAGTGGAGGGCCAGCATTGTCTTCCGTGGGGAGACCTGGGTGTGTTGATTCCTGCAACTACAATGAATTCGGTCACCTATTCTGCTGGGACCCACTCTTGTTTTCTCTCAGCTGGTCCTTTCAGAGGCCAGATACCCAGGTCATGTGCCCCCAGCACTAGGTGCCCTGATGTTCTCTTTCTGGTTTTTTTTGAAGGCCATAAGGACTCTGTGACTTGTGCTGGTTTCAGCCATGACTCCACCCTAGTGGCCACAGGGGACATGAGTGGCCTCTTGAAAGTGTGGCAGGTGGACACCAAGGAGGAGGTCTGGTCCTTTGAAGCAGGAGACCTGGAGGTGATTAGGGTGGATTCAACTCAGGGGCCTTGGTTGGTAGTGGGTGAGAGCTTGGAGCTTCGCCTCCACCTTTACTAGACCAAGCCATCTCTAAGCCAGTGCACTCTGAAGGTACAGCAAGAATATCTGTGCCTGTTACCTAGACTGTCCCCCCTAACTCAGAAGCAGGGGCAGCTTGGTGGGGCTCAGAAGACAGGTTCCTAGGTGGGATGGGGTGATGGGCCTCCCTGCTGACTCTTTCTCCCTGTCCAGTGGATGGAGTGGCACCCTCGGGCACCTATCCTACTGGCGGGCACTGCTGATGGCAACACCTGGATGTGGAAGGTCCCCAGTGGTGACTGCAAGACCTTCCAGGGTCCCAACTGCCCAGCCACCTGTGGCCGAGTCCTCCCTGATGGTGAGATAAGCTCCCCTGAGTGTCCGTTCTTGAGTGCAGAGAGGTTGGGCACAAGGCTCAGAGTGCGGGCTCAGCAGCACTGACCTCATAGGCCCCAGAGCAGTCAGCTCCCTCTTGTCCATCCTGAACTGAGTCTCCTCTGCTGGGTCCTGGGTGTGTTTGTCCCCTCCCTTTCTTGTCTCCCTCTCTTGGCTCCCACCCATACCCACAATTCCCTTGTTGGGTATGTCTGAGTGTGTGGTCTGTCCTTCTGTCTTCATCTGTACTTTTGGCCCTTTAGGGAAGAGAGCTGTGGTCGGCTATGAAGATGGCACCATCAGGATTTGGGACCTGAAGCAGGGAAACCCTATCCATGTACTAAAAGGTATCAGAATTGGGGGACGTGTTACCCTCGGCCTTTGTGGGGCGGGTGGTTAAGACCTGGGACAGGACTCAGGGGACAGGGTGAAGTCTAACTTATCCCTTTGCTCCATCCTAGGGACTGAGGGTCACCAGGGCCCTCTGACCTGTGTTGCCACCAATCAGGATGGCAGCCTGATCCTAACTGGCTCTGTGGATTGCCAGGCCAAGTTGGTCAGTGCCACCACCGGCAAGGTGAGTGGGACCTGAAGCCTTGCTGTGAAGCCTTCCGTTCTTCTCCCCTCCCTTTCTTATCCTTCACTCAACCTCCCTGCCTCTCCACCTTCCTTCTCTATTAGAGGACCATGTTTCTAGGACCTTCTCTGATGCTTTCCTCTGGCTCATAGGTGGTGGGTGTTTTCAGGCCTGAGTCTGTGGCCTCCCAGCCCAACCTGGGAGAAGGGGAGGAGAGCGAGTCCAACTCAGTGGAATCCTTGGGCTTCTGCAGTGTGTGAGTGTGAGCTAAGGCTTAGGCCTGGAGGCCGCCTGGAGATGAGAGGGACTGCGCTTGGGGAGGGGCCTGGGCGGGGAGACCAGGAAGGGACGAAGGGCATGTGGGCCCAGGTCCCTCTGTGAGCTTTGTGGTGCTCCCCTCTACCCAGGATGCCTCTGGCAGCTGTTGGCTACCTGGATGGGACCTTGGCCATCTATGACCTGTCTACGCAGACCCTCAGGCACCAATGTCAGCACCAGGTACAGGCACCCGTGGGGAGGCCCAGGCCTCTGTCAGCATCCACCCCAGACCTGGCTCCTGCTTGGTCCTGTCTATGGTCCACGTTCCCACCCTCCCTCCCTGAGGTGCCTCCTAGCTCTCCTCCTCTCACCTCCACCTTGCCTTTTGTACCCGTGCAGTCGGGCATCGTGCAGTTGCTGTGGGAGGCGGGCACCGCCGTGGTTTACACTTGTAGCCTGGATGGCATCGTGCGCCTCTGGGATGCTCGGACTGGCCGCCTGCTGACTGACTACCGAGGCCACACGGCTGAGATCCTGGACTTTGCCCTCAGCAAGTAAGTGAAATGGGCAAGGGCTGGAGTCTCTGTATTTGGAAGGTGGGGGTAGCATGTGGAGGGCCACACGGAACTGGGGGTGTGGGGGGGCTTCCTGAGAGAAGCTGGGACCCAAGGCCTGGTTGTGGCTTTGGAGGCAGGAGTGCTGGGAAGCCTGAGAGAGTTGCCCTTCTGGTTGACAGTCACTTGCTAGGTCTCATGTCAGTCCCGGGGCTGAGGGGCTGGGACTGCTTCCCCCATATTGTGGTTCCTCTCATTCCCTCGCTGACTGCTGGCTTCACATGTGTTCATTCGACATGGGTGTGTCAGCCTGGTGCTAGGCACCTAGGGCATAGAATTGATGTGCTCCAGAGGACTACTGGGGGTGGGGGTGGGGGGTTGGGGGGCCCTGGGTCATGGGCTTGGGCCAGCCCCAAGGCTCCCATCCCTTCGAGCCTATTCTTTCTGTCCACAGAGATGCCTCCCTGGTGGTGACCACATCAGGAGACCACAAAGCAAAAGTATTTTGTGTCCAGAGACCTGACCGCTAGTGGCTGCAGCCTCTGCTTTGGGTCTGGTGTTGAGGTGAAGGGAGACCCCTCACCAGCAGAGGCAGGAGGGTATGAAGGAAGAGGATGGGAGGGGCCTTGGACTACTTTCCAACCCCTTCACACTGACTTGCCCCTCTGTCCCTTTCTTCTCATAAGAGACCCACCCCTCACCCCTCAGGCCCCTCCTCCTCCCCCAGACCTGGGGGATCTCTCAGAGGGAGGTTCAGACCTCTTTCTCTTTCACTTTCATTTGTGGGTGTGAGTTATGGGGTGCCTATTTGTATGTGGGGAGTAGGTGTTTGAGATGCCTGTTCTTTCCCTTCCCAAGTCTCTGGGGGTGGAAAGGAGGAAGAGAGAGATTAGTTACAGATTTTAAAAATGTAAATAAAATATACTTCCCAGAGACTATGTCTGTGGATTTTGTGGTGGCTGGACCTGAGGAAGAACTGGTGAGGGGCATATCAGGGCGAGGCCCCCACATGTGCTGGACTTCAGCACTCAGCCCGCCCTCCCTGCCGGTGGTGCAGCCTCACCTACAATTGCTGCTCTATCCAGAGTTGGAATCTCCCTTGATTCCCTTATTTTAGGTTCTTTCCACAGCTGTTCTACCTGCCTCTCCCCTTCTGCGATATGGAATGAGATAGCAATAAACTCGGCCAGAGGAGCTTTATTCCACCAATAAAAAAGGGCAGGGTCTCTGATCCTGGGGTGTGCGGACAAGTGGAGACAGGCGTGGCTGAGATGGATGGATGCTTCTAGTAGGAGTAAGTGGAGGCCCTTCCCCTAGTTCAAGTCCAGGTCCATGCTGCTTTGGCTGCTGGTGCAGTAGGCAGTGCCGGGGCCAGGACTGCTCCGGGAGGCTCTTCCCCGCAGCACCCGGCGCCATCTTCGGGCAGCTGCCCTCCAGGGAGCTGTGTAGCGCTGATCACTCAGCCCCATGGCCACAGGCACTGCCGCTGCACTGGCACTGCCCAGTGAAACAAGGGACAACAGAGTTCCAGGCCCCAGCGGTGGGCGCTGCTCATAGGCCAGCACTGAGAGGAGCAAGGTGGCCACGTAGGGTCCCCAGCACAGCCCAAAGAGCAGTGTGGCTCCAGCCTGTGCCCTTGCTTGCCTCCAGGTAAGGGCCCGGGCCAGGGCCGAGGGCACCCCGCGGCACACTGCCCGTTCCTGCCGGCGGATGTCCTGTAGCTGGCGATGGGCAGTGATCAACACACGGGCAGAGAGAAGGGCCGCAGCACCCACGGCAGGCAGCAGCAGCCCATAGACTTCGAGGTAGAGGTAGGGGGCTGGGAAGACAGCCTGGGAGCTGCAGTTGGCACCAGGGGCCCAGTGGTTCCACCCCAGCGCGGGCAGGCTGGTGAAGAGCAGGGGGCCAGCCCAGGTGAGGAGCAGGGCCAGGCGAGTGCTCCCAGGGGCCCGGAGAGGCCGCAGCACTGCCATGTAGCGCTCCCCGTGCACCAGCAGCAGGTTGGCGAGCAGGGAGAGGAAGGAGAAGTTGGGAGCTAAGTAGAGGAAGAGACAGGACCAGTAGCCTCGGCGGCTCTGGCTCCACAGGCCTGGCAGTGTGGGAAGTGCCAGCCCTGTGAGCAGCCCAGCGAGCAGCAGGCTCAGGAAGAAGCAGCCAGCAGGGAGGCTACGCAGGCGGCGGTCCCCGGCAATGCCCACGGCCAGGAGCAGGTTGGCCACGACGATGAGGCTTGCCAGGACCAGGGAGAGCCCAAAGGCTCCCATGGGAACAGCACCGGGCACCTCCCTGGTGCTGTTGGGTGTCATCTTGGGTCTGGGGACAGGGAAAATCTGGAGCAACGGCCGACATGCCTGGACAGGAGATGGGGTGGCTAGAGTTAGGGTGGGGCTGCGGGTCACTGTCCTCTTGGGAATACTTATTAATCTAGAGGTTGCAGCCAAATGGATTAAGCTGTATACACATTTTTTTTTCAATTAATGGCCAATTAAAATTTCTATTTCTGGCTTCTCTTAAGAAATCAGTTGTGGCAATACCTATGTCCTATATGGTAGTGACCAGCTGGAGTGAGGACCTCCCCACAGGCCACTTCACCCATTTCTGTTACCCGCTTGGCCCCCTTGGGCAGCTGTGCTTATGCCTGTTTAAACTGAAAGAATGACCCATCCAGCCCCAAAGCATCTTGCCCACCCCTGCCTCTACTGGCAAGGCCTCTAAACTAGCCAAAAGGGAAGACGGGGTGTGGCTGGTGTAGTGGTCAGCCAAAGCTGACAGCCTCCTCTGGGCTAGGGCCAGGTGCTAGAAGTGGGTGCTCAGGTGCAGGAGAGGGGTCTCTGTCTTCAGATGCTCGAAGCCTGGTGGGAAACCAGAGCATTAGGATTGGGGTGGGGCAGGAGTGAGGCAGAGAGAGGGATCACTAAGCATCAGAGTTAGTGGCGAGGTCAGGGCAATGGTGGCAGCAAGTGGGATGCCCTGTCCCTTGCTCCACCATCCCCATCTGCCCTGTGGCCAGTTGGTTACAGATGAGTGAGCAGCCTCTGGATAGGACTTCCAGCCCATAAACTTGACTCATCTGCACCACTAGCAACAGGTCCCTTCCAGGGAATTGGAGGAGAGAGAGGAGTTGCTGGGGGTAGAAGTGAGTGGGTGGTGGGGCGGGGGGTGCGTGGGGAGGTTGGAGGAGGATTGGCAGTGAATGCGGAGATGCCAGCAGCAAGGAGGACACCTCCCACACCCTGAGGCTGAAGCTGACCCCCAGGAAAGGGGAGAGGAGCTGCTGGACAGGGCTGGCCTCTTTGCAGCTCTGCTCTGTCCCTGTCCTTTCCTTCACTTGGCTCCTTGTTTTCAGCCCGCCAGCACCCCGGCCCCACGGCTACATCGGGAAACAGGGAGGGGTCCTGGATCCTGTGGGAACGCCTGCTTCTGTCCATGGGAGCAGCTGCTGTTGCTAGGATTAAAGTCAATAAGGAAAGGATTCCTACTGCCCCCTCCGACAGCCGCCCTGACTCAGGAGAAGCTGAGGCCCCCACGCCGGGCCTCCAAGCTGCTGCACCCTTCCCCCCCCTCCCGTTTTCTCTTCCTCAATCTTCCCTTTGCCCCCAACTCAGGACATCTTTTCTTTTCAGCAGCCCTCCAGTTTCTGTTCCCCTTTGTCCCTGCATGTCAACTTGATTAAACCCCACAAGACCTCAGGGTACCTTACTTCCAACCTAGCCTCTGGCTCCTGGGCTGGAGCTCCAGCCCTCCTGAGTGAGTCCCCTACCCCACCAGAGCAGCAAGAAGGGAAGGGCCAGCCCCAGGAGCGACTTCCCAGTGGTGTGTGGGTAGTGTGACCCTGCTGGCTCTGGTGGCAATGGCTTCTTCAGGGTTGGGGCTGAGGTCTGGGGTGGGGAGGGGCATAGCGACTCACATGGCAGTTGGAGACAGGCGCTCCTCAGCCTGGCCTGGCCTGTTTCAGGGAACTGCTGCAGCTGACCTTGCAGGGCCTCTGGAGATGTCTGATGTCCCGGCCGCGGAGAGCATGGTGCCTCCACTCTGGGATAGCAGGGCCCCAGGCTCGTAGCTGCCCCGGCTCTGCTCCTGCCTGGGTTCTGGGAGGATGGAACTGTGGCCACGGGGCTTAGCCTGGCCCCGCCTCTGAGGGTGGGACCTGGCACACCCCGGCTTTAGCAAATGGGAGGCCTTCCTCCTCTCCTGCTGGACCCGAGCTTCCCCTTTCCAGCTACTGGCTATAGCTTCACTTAGGGGGCAGATCCTCTCTCAGGTCACTCAGTTTGGAGACCCCTCTCCTGATACTGCCTAGCTCAGCGGTTCTCAACCTGTGGGTCGCGACCCCTTTGGCGGTCGAACGACCCTTTCACAGGGGTCACCTAAGACCATCCTGCATATCAGGTATTTACATTACGATTCATAACAGTAGCAACATTACAGTTAGGAAGTAGCAACAAAAATAATTTTATGGTTGGGTCACAACATGAGGAACTGTATTTAAAGGGCCAGAAGGTTGAGAACCACTGGCCTAGCTGATCTGAGAAATGCATTCCCTAGTGAATGATTTCCTTCTACCCCTCCCCACTTTCTGCCCCAGCTAATACATTTACATTTTATGAGCTTTATACTGGAGTGGCCAGCCAGCTGACAGCATATTGAGCTCCATAATCCTACCTGTCTGCCAAAGGGGAGTGTGTGTGTAATGGTGGCAGTAGGGGGTAGGGGTTGAGTATCTTCACTGCCCCCCATCGTATTGCCTGGTGGACCTTTCAGATTATAAAGCCAGCCTTGCCTTCTAGAATCTGGAGTCATTCCGCATTTTCCTCAGCTACTTTGTGAGTCAAGTTGTGGGCTACAAGCTCAAATAGCTCTGGGGTGTGATATTGGGCAAGCTACCTCTGGGCTCCAATTTTCCCACCTGTAAAATGGGGAAGAAAGAAAGCTACTCTTAGGGTTGTTGTGGAAAATGTTATGGGCCTGTACAATGAATGTATTTATAAGTGGAACAACAAATCAATGTTTTTCTCTCACTCTCCCCCTCCTTCGATGAATAAGAGGCACAAGCCAGTGTTGGAATCAGAAAGCCTGGCTTTGGATCTCAGAATCCTGGCTGAGATCCTATTTTTTTAGCTGTATAAATTTGGGCAAGTTAACAAAGTTCTCTTGCCTTAGTTTCCTTATCTGCAAAATGGGGCTCACATTGTACTCACCCATTGAGACTAAATGAAATATGTGATAAAAACTTAGATCAGTGCTTGGCACATAAGCACTCAATGAAAGGTAGCAGTTAATAACATTATTAGGATTTCTGCCCTTCTCTGCATGTCCCTTCCCTCCAGCCAATCCTCCCCTCTAAGAAAGAACTTCCCTGAGAAAAGCAGATTACCTATGAAAAGCAAGAGGGCAGTGACGCTTTTGCTCCACAGGGAAACTAAGTACAATCACGTGTCACTTAACAACAGGGATACATTCTGAAAAATGGGTTGTTAGCCGATCTCGTCGTTACGGAAATACCATAGAATTTAGTTACACAAACCTATATGGTATAGCCTACCACTCACCTAGGGTTAGTATAGCTTATAGCTCTGTAGGGAAGGAAAAATAATTTTCCCTCTACCTTCTGGACTCTTGGCTGAGACATTCCTTTACTAAGAGACACATTAACAAGAGAAAACATTTGATAACATGCGTACTTGGGAGCTAGGAGTTACCCAGGGAAACTGAGTAACTCACCAGAATGCCTGAAACCATCACCTTAAATACCATCTTTAGCTTAAGACAAAGGATGTTGGGCAGTGGTTCTCAACCTTGGCTGCACATTAGAATCACCTGGGAATCTTTTTAAAATCCTGATTTCTGGGGGGGAAAAATTAAAAAAAAATCCTGATTTCTGGGCCTCATCCTTCGGAAATTGTTTCTTTGTTACTAATGTTGTGGCCCCACCCCATAACAAAGAAACAGAATTTCCGGAGGATGAGGCCCAGAAATCAGGATTTTAAAAAGATTCCCAGGTGATTCTAATGTGCAGCCAAGGTTGAGAACCACTGATGCTGGGGCTGGGGGAAAGGGCCGTAAACAAGGGGTAAGGTTATTATGCAAATTTCAGTCAAGGTCTTCTACACTGATAAGACTTTCTAGAGATAAGGTCCTTCCCCTTCTTCCTGGTACACTGAGGAAGACACACTTGCAAATGGAGAGGTCCCTACAAGCACAAATATCTTTTACAAAGAGTAACTTCTACTTGGTTTTCAGAGCTTCTTCCAAGTCAGAGGGTTTCTTAAAATTAACCAGCCTAAAATAATCCTTATGCTAAAGAGACATATTTGCGGGTGACAAATTCTGTTCCCTTACAGCTCCCAGGCTACAAACCAGAACAGCATGTCACTGTTCTGGATACTGTAGGCACTTGTAACATAATGGTATTTGTGTAATGCATTTTGCTACATCACTAAATGATAGGAATTTTACAACTGCATAATCTTTTTTTAAAATGTATTTTTATTGATTTCAGAGAGGAAGGAAGAAGGAGAGAGAGATAGAAACATCCATGATGAGAGAGAATCATGGATCGGCTGCCTCCTGCAAGTCCCCCACTGCGGATTGAGCCCACAACCCGGGCATGTGCCCTTTACTGAAATTGAACCTGGGACCTTTCAGTTCGCAGGCTGACACTCTATCCACTGAGCCAAATCAACTAGGCTGCATAATCTTTTTTAAAAAATATTTTTAGCCCTAGCCGGTTTGGCTCAGTGGATAGAGCCTTGGCCTGCGGACTGAAGGGCACCTGGTTTGATTCCAGTCAAGGGCACACGCCTCAGTTTCGGGCTTGTGCATCTAAGAAGCATTCTTTTTTTTTTCTTTTTTTCGAATTAAAGAGTCACATTTATTGCAATCCGGGACTATGAGGGGCCATTCCCCAAATCTCATAGTCCTAAGAAGCATTCTAAAAATGTGTGCACAATGAAGGAAACTGGTGCTGTTTTGTTTATATGTTATATTAGGCTTTTCAAAACTAAGCTAAATGCACCCAAAATATGTCCCAGATGGCAGTGCTCTACATGGGTCCCTTTTTTTCTGGCATTCTATGCCTTTTGGTCTGTTGTGCAGGAGGCAGCCGATCAGTGATTTGCTCTCATCAATGATATTTCTATCTCTCCCTTCCTCTCTGAAATCAATTAAAAATATTTTTAAATATATATATTTTTATTGATTTCAGAGAGGAAGGGAGAGATAGAAACATCAATGATGAGTGTCTGTCTTCTCCTCTACATGTCATTGGCCCCCAATTGTGTGTGTGTGTTTGGGGGGGCAGTACTGAGGGGTTGCGCAGAAAGCTTTGGTTTATGGTTTGAATTCCTTGGTCAAGTAAATTAGGCAATGCCAGCCGCTGTGGGTTTGTCCTTGGAGAAAATGTGGGCCTGACAAGATGGAGAGGACATTCTGGAAGGCTTTGCTGGAGAAATAAAAGCTACCTTTTCTGTCTTCTCTGGAGCCCTTCATTCTCATAACTTTGTTTCTGTTGGTATAATTAAATTCGGAAAGGTAAGATGTTGCATCCACCTGCTTAGAGCAGACCCAGGTCCTGGCCCTTTTCAAATTCATCCCACATTTAACTTAAGGATTTGGAACATGCAGTGATAGGTTACATAGTTCAGTTTTATATCCTATTGTATTAATGTATTTTCCTGTTTGAAAACAGTTATGATAGTCCTTTGGGGGAGAATCCAGTATTGGCAAAGTTAAATGTATTTTTTAAAAAATATATTTTATTGAGTTTTTAGAGAGGAAAGGAATGGGGTAGAGAGAAACATCAATGATGAGAATCATTGATTGGCTGCCTCCTGCATGCCTCCCACTGGGGATCAAGCACACAACCCAGGCATGTGCCCTTGGCTGGAATCGAACCCGGGACCCCTCAGTCCACAGGCTGACGCTCTATCCATTGAGTCAAACCAGCTAGGGCTAAATGTATTTTAAACGGAAAGTTTTTAGAATGTTGAAAAGTAATTGAAAAAAGTGACGAGTAAATGTCTAGGCCAAGATATTCCAATAAACCTTTCAGAAGCCTTAGAAAAAAAAGAAAAAGAAACATCAATGATGAAAGAATCATTGATTGGCTGCCTCCTGCATGCCCCACACAGGGGATTGAGCCCGCAACCTGGGCAAGTGAACGCTGCCAGTCAGGCTACATTTGCATAATCTTATGGGACCACTGTCCCATGTGCAGTCCTTTAAAGACCAACATGTCTTTTTAAGAAAAGTATGTTTTTATTGATTTCAGAGAGGGAGAGATACCCTGACTAGGGATTGAACACCAGCAACCCTTCAGTGCATGCGGTGCATGGGATGACACTCAACCAACAGCCACACCAGCCAGGGTCAAATGTCTTTAAGTAGTGCATGACTGCATAGTGAGAGGAAGGGCAAGTTCAGGGTTAGAAAGCCCAGAGGTGCCCCCATTTCTACATCATATCCAGTGTGGCTTTCGGGTGAGGGAGAGAAGCCAGTTACACGCCCTGAAATGGAAGGGAACAGGCTAAAACTGCAGCAAGAAAGCTGGAGGTGAGACATTAGGAAACACTTCCTCGCTCAAGAGCACAGGTGGATGGACAAGGGGACTTTGGAGTTCTCTGGGGGAAACCAGGGTTGAAGGACTGGAGGCACAGCTGTCAGGGGTCCTAGAGAGGCAGGACTTATGTTGGGACAAAGTGGGTAGGGGAAAGCATCTAGCCTCAAACCCATCCTCGAGGAAGCCGGTGGGCGAGGGACACTGGGTTCCAACAGATTGTCCTCAGCCCCACACTATCTATTGGACAGAAGTCAGAGGCTCTGGGAGAGTTCATCCTGGAGTCTGGACAGGAGTGGGTGTGGGGCCCCTCGGATATTGGACTGCCAGGAATAAACAGACCTCCGTCTGTTCCCAGCTCTGGCCTCCTCCCTGAGGGATCCAGGATGTCTGTGTTTCTTCTTACTGCTCTGTCTAAACACTGTGTGTGGGATGACGTGTGAAGGGGGAACAGCTTAGGCGGTGGGAATTGGGAAGCCTGGGTTCTATCCCCTGCTCCCTCAGCCATTTCTTCCTTACTGGATCATCCAGTTCCTCTCTGCTCCCCCACAATCCCTGCAACTGACTCATCTGCCATTTCTCCTTTACCCAAAGGAGTCCTAATGCAGGCAGCTTGCAAATGCTCCATTGAGCTGACTCTGCAGGCTCTACCACCCAGCCCCACCCAGTTCTCCTTTCCTCAGGTAAAGTCTGCATCATGGTGCCCAATCCAGACTCTGGCAGGGAACGTTCTGGGCCTCCTTTGCCCATTCCATTCTCTTGGATATATGATATTTGCGGATCCTCCTTGAGCCGCTGTTCAACCCTTCACTAGCTCTTGGGAGTCTCTGAAAGGTTCGGGGCACAATCGTGTGACTGAAATGGCCAGGATCCTGGCTTCAGGAAGCCCTAAGTCAGCTATATGGCAGAAGAACCCCTGGCCCTGTTAAGGTTAAACAGCCAGATTCTCCACCTCTCCCCAGGAGCCAAAGGAAATTGCACTGCTTTTATCAATTTCCAAAGGGAGAAGTATTGCTTGAACTCAGATAGCACCCACTCCCTCCAGTAGACCCAGGCTTGGGTCTTAGGCCTCTACAGAGCTTTTGGGAGGAGTGCCTATCACTCCAACTTTGAATGACACCAAAGGGGACTGAAATGGCAACTGCAAATACCACCTCTGATGTAGCAGCTGGCACTGCTTTCTTTTCCGGATTGCAACTTCCTGTCCTTTCATCCCCACCCCTCTACTTCCTATTAGTCTTATTGCCTTTTCTGCCAAGCTCCTAGATCTTAAATATATTTTTATTGATTTCAGAGGGGGTGAGGGAGAGATAGAAACATCAGTGATGAGAATCATTGATCAGCTACCTCCTGCACGCCCCACATTGGGGATTGAGCATGCAATCTGTGAATGTGCCCTCACCCGGAATCTGTGACCTCCTGATTTATATATAGGTCAACACTCAACCACTGAGCCACACTAGTTCTTAGCATACACAGGTCCCACTTTACCCAGGCACAGAGGGTCCCACCAACACCCTCCTCATCTCCCACTGCACCCAAGCAGAGAAAAATACCACCTCTCTTGGAAGGACCTTGGCTTATGTTGGACTTTGCTTCCTTAGCAGTCCTGCCACTTCTGATCCCCTTGAGTGTATAAGAATGGAACTTAAGATTTCTTAGATGGCATTATCAAGGATAATTATAGGCACTGTAATTGCCTATGTGATACCCAGTTATCTTCAAAAGCTGACCCTCATTATCTTGAGGCCTCCTTCCTCCCACAGTCCACAGGAACTTGGCTGAAGTTAGTGGGCCTTTGTCCACAAAGGGAGGGTCTTTCTACACCAATACCAAGTGTGTCTTGACACAGGTGAAGAAAAAGGAGCAAGTCTGGAGAGTCTTCACCCGCATGGACTTTTATAGGATACTGCCTTGGGCTCTACTGCTGTAAAAAATATGTAATGCCTTGTTTTTCCCCCTCTGTATTTTCTAAGCAATCTTGGCTTTATCATCTATAGATTGTATAGGCTTCAGATTTTCAGAAATCTGATTTCTACTATTGGCTGAGAGTACAAGTGAATTCCAACTTATTAAGGAGCTGTGCTCTAAACCCAGCAGGAAAGCAAAAACTGCTCCTAGTCAAAATTACCCTTGAAAACCCCTACTAGCTATTAACGGGTGCTATTTGAGTTCAAGCAATACTTTTCCCTTTGGAAATTGATAAAAGCACTGCAGTTGGCTCCTGGGGAGACGTGGAGAATCCGGTTGGTTAACCCTAACAGGACCAGGGGTACAGAATACATACATAC